GTGTGATTGCTGTGTGCGTGCATGATCACATTTTGGTTTCTTGTTCCTATTGAAATGAAGTCAGTTGATAGTCGAGCATCCTTCCTGTCCCTGTCTCTTTTTCCTTGTCTTGGCTTCTTCTGCTTCATTTGGTGCTGCTGGTACTCCCACCAAGACTATGTACCATCTTGCCCAAAAAGCCACCTTAATGAAGTCATTCAAGTTGATCACCACTTTCGTCAAGTGGAGCTGATCACCACTTTCGTCAAGTGGAGCCATTAACTGTTTCGGGCATATGCGGGTGCTTTGGGTATTTGCAAGCCAGATGATGCTGAAGTATCACAGTCTGGTCATTGCCACAACTCCGTTTAGTTGCACTACTCTATATTATAACTCCAGGAGGCTCTTGCTCGCATTCATACTCGCAGACCTTTTTTTTTTTAACCTGCTCCTTTTGCACATTTTAAGAAAACATCAGTTTTTTTCTATTGCCATTCCGACCTCCTTTGCTACTACCAACAAATGCTCTCAGTCCATCTGTGTGCTTCATGAATATTGGTCTCTGGGTAGGAAAAAAAAAATCATCCTAGAATGTTTTGATGCTGGCAACCGCGCAAATAGTTCAGAAGCACTAAAATTTGAGCGAGTTTGCATGTGAAATAAGAGCGCATAAGCAGACAACAAACGTTAGACAGAGTTATGCAGATGAGCGCTGACTTCACGTTAAAGTTTATTCACAGAAAAGGTCAGGTTTTATTCTACACTGAACACGGGAACGCAAGCGTGAAACTACAATCTAAAATAATGACAACAAACAGGACAGCTATCACTTCAGAGTTAAAAAAAAATGCAAGAAAAACCCTGGTGCCTCCTACGCATGAAGATCATTAAACAGAAAAAAACAAACACCTGAGGTCAAAAACAATACAGGTCATGGCAAGCGTGCGAGGGGCTGCCGCTGGTCTGTTCTTAGTGTCAAAGACTTATCTGGGTAAGCCAGTTCACTGGTTATTAGATTAATAGATGGCTGGCTGATGCATGAGGAAGCATTTTTCGTGGATATGAAAGGATTTCATTATTTCTCTTTTTGTCCAGTTTTGGTGCCGGGAAAGAACGGAAGTATTGCTGAGCTCTGGAATGCACCCACAATCTTGACAGTGCGCAAGGCGTGAATATGGGGCACCTTTAAGGGAGATGTGGTGCTCCCTTAGCCTGGCATTCAGGCAGAGGTTCGTCTGACCGATGTAGTATTGGCCGAATGTAAAATGAATACTGTAAGCAACATTGAAAACACCGGCAACAAAACACATACCATGGTTAATGTTGCATGTGGACTGCTTCGGCAATCTCTTGTTGTGTAGGTGTTTGTGAAAAGCCGGACAAATAGAACCTAGTATTTATTCTTCCCATTGGAAACGATGTTCACAGTTGTATCGGTGGACTACCAAACAACACAAGAATCTCGAGTTTCCAAATTTGTTGTAAGGGGTCGTTTAAGCAAAGGTCACCGCCCCCAATATAAAAGAGAGTTTTTTTATCAATTCATCTCTAAAATGCTATTGGGAAAGCTCAGTCTCAAATGCATTCGCCTAAGACAGCTGGAAGGTGAAAGTAATTTTCTTTTTCTTCTTCTCTTTTGATTGTATTGATGCCCTCGAAAGAATTCCGAGCCTAGAGTGGTTTTGCATGGCCTCTGCAATCGGAGATATTGCAGGCTTTGTGCACATCATGTGATGACGTCATCATTTAGTACTACATTGTGATACGTCCCAGTTACCTTGATACAATGTCATTGTAGTGTTTCATAATTTTGTGATCTGTGACATCATGAGGGGACATCGCTATATTAAGATAATTTTTTGGATCACTCGCATTGACGTTGATGGTCACTGTTGTTTGATGAGGCATCTAATGTTTTTGTTTTAATAACTAGAACCAACTGCCTTCGTGAAATTTAAAAGCCCCTCAATGTAATGAACGAATGGAAAAAAAAAAAAAACACCAGGCCTGCGTGAAATGCACTGCATACTCACAGTGAATGCTGAAAGAACGGTCTTTCTAGAGCCTTTATTAAACACTTTTTGTGTAACTACTTTCAAGCACACTTGCAGGGTACCCTCCCTATTGCGTAACAAGTGGGTCGTTCAATTCTCCAACCCATTACAACACCCTCAGGCATAATTCATTGTCGTCAGCCACCCACAGCATCAACAAAGTGCTCATAATGCCTTAAAAGTGTGTAGCAGGTACCACACTCTTCTGAAGTTTGACAAATAATGTCGCAGTGGAAGCTTCCCCACTACACAAAGACTATGATATTTTATGGCATAGTGGGCACCATGCAAGTGTGCTTGTAGTAGTTGGTCCAATAGTGTTCAATAAGGGCTCAAGAAAGATCGCTCATATAACTTTCGCTGTCACTGTGCTGGTGGTTTTGGGATAGTGGTTAAGGACAACTGAAGCACCAAGAACCACCCCTGTTGTTAGTATCTCGTAACACCTCTCTCAGTAAAACAACCATAGCTCAGTGTAGTATGACATATTGTTGTTTGTGTCTGATCTTTGCTGTTGACATGTGAATGAAGATAGTTTCAATTTTAATCATTGATAATTTTTGTTGGATCCTTAATAAACAGTAACACACGGAAATGTCGCACGGATCATCTGCATTTTAACATGACCGACGACTAGCAAAATGTCTAAATTGCCCTACCTTTTCCAAGAAAATTGTATACGTCCCTACTACCTTACGCAGGCTGAAAAATCCTGGAATTGCCCTAAATGTAGTGTAAATACCCTATGGTTGGCAACACTGCCGCTCCTCCCACCTCTGTTTCACGTGAACATTGAGGTCCCCAAGTCGGGAGGTGCACGTGAATGCTTCAATACAGCAGTGCTAGTATGCTTTCCAAAGTCATATTCATAAAAAATTATAATTGAGAGCCTACTGTACTAGTGGATATGATGTGTGATGAATCAGGGTTGCAACAGATGCCCCAATTGTGCCAGTTTGATACAATTCCCCATTCTTGCATCGGGCTGCATCAAAACCATGAAGTTTGCTTGAATTGTGCCTTGCTGCACCAAAATGCCCGACCAGCCTCGAAGTTTTCTCAGTTGCACTGATTGCGCTCATGAAAGGCGGCCATGTTGGCTATCTGCTTGTAGTTTGCATCATCAATCAATCCAAGCGCGCAGACCCTAACCCTAAACCAGGGTGTAAGATATATCCCCATTAGGTTAGGGCACCCGCGACACGCAATCGATCAGATGAAGTAACAAAGCTGCACGGCATCGGTTCACTGACCGTTGCGGATACCTATCGGCAGGACAACGCAACTTGAAAACAAATATGAACTTTCTAGTCAGCAAACCAAGCTATGGCATGTTAGCAACTAAAGCTGGAAGCGTATGCTGCGTTGCCCACACACGAACAGACTTGACGTGCTGCAAAAATCGGCATTGTCGGCGACCACGTTGGTTGCCATAGCAACGGCTATAAAACATTTTTTTCTCTAGAAGTTTCGCCATCTCGGTGATAGACATCCAGTGTCGTTCCCGGTCCAACAAGCGCAAACCGTTGTTGTTACTCAATCTGGTTGAACGAGCCTTTTAAGCAAGACAAGAAGTTGTACCCTATACCTAATCCCACCGCAAAAAATAAAAAAGAGAGAAAGAGAGGAGGGGGCGTAGTAGCGTTTCATGACTTGTACTAGCTCGTGCAGAACACTTCTTAATTCACCTTTGCCCCGTGGAAATGTGCACTTTAATTTTGAAGGGGCTGTTAGCCTTAATCACGGGACACAGGATGTTTTGTTCAACTACTCATGCATGTATGCAGAGCATAATTGTGAGTACTAGTAGGTTCGATGACGTCCGAAAAAGTTACTGGCTATTATTCAGAGCCGTGTACGTCATTTCTGGCACCCTAAAAAGTACTGTGCCAGTTTTTATTTTTTTTGCCAACCCCAACAAATTCCTGAATTTCAAACTCGCCAGCTTGGCAGATCCAGATTTGAATTCGCAAAGTCAGACGCAGCAAATGCTAATGTGAACGTTATTATTTGCTCAGTGAGGTGGTTCATAATACTAATTTTATTGAAATATCAGTGCTCTTACACTGCACAGTTTAGGGCAATATTTAATGATTTGTACATATTTTTTTTCTATATGTTAGACTTTTTTTTCGTGCTGCTCTAAATTTGGTCTTTCGTGATAAAAAAAATGAATGTTTTGTTCCCTGCTACCTGCCCCAAATTTGAATTTTTATGCTCCAAAAGTAACATTTTGCTGCTCCAAAATTGCTTCATATCTTATTTTGGCTGTTGCACCCTAGGGGGAATGCATGTTTTCATCAACTGTATAGTAAGACTGGGCCAAAGGAAAGAAGAGGGACAGATTATTAAAAACTCTTAAATGCTTTGAAAGAGGATTCAGCCAGTGAAATCTTGGCATTAAGTCAAATAGGTCAAGTTATTATTGTCACGTGGTCATGACATTGACGAAGGCAGTAGTGGGTATGTCCAAGTTGAAACAGTTTATTTGGCTGCACCTGTGGCCAATAAATGGAAAGTCGGACTACAGCAATGCACAGTGGCAGTGATAGCGCCGAACAGAGTGACAGACTTCTATCAACTGACAAGCCATGATGCATTCGTACATGTGCCGATGAACTTTCCAGTGTTATCACTAGTGGCCGTATGAGTTCCAAAATAATTTATAATGATCACGTGCGTGTAATCGCATCGGAAGGTTTAAGATTATCTCGCTAGTTCTTAGTCAAACAGCGGGGTTTATGCAAGGCAGCACTTACACGTGTTATGGGGGAATAACAAAACTTGAGAAAGCAGTGCGGCAATATGAAAGTATATATACACTATACAGATTACATGTGGAGATTCTCATGCATTTTACTACTGGCTGACGCAGTTAAAAATCTCTCTTCATGTGCTGTCTTGCAACAAAATATTTTTAAAAACTCGCGTAGTGTTGATTGACGCTGCTTCTTGTGTTTCTTGCAGTTGCTGCGGGAACTGAAGCACACGAATGTCATTAGTCTACAGCGAGTGTTCCTCTCGCACAACGACCGAAAAGTCTACCTCCTTTTTGACTTTGCGGAGCATGATCTGTGGGTGAGCTACATTGATGGCCGTCCTGTGTGTTTGCCACTTGACGATATGTAGCCAGGTGTGATGTGGTTCAGACTACTCATCCTCAAGATGAAAAGAGCACTCACGAAGGTGTTCACTTTTTTTTCCAGCTGCCTGTCACGAACCTGTGTGCTACATGTTGGTCTTGCTTTTTTGGTTTTTACCCGCTGCGGTGGTCAAGTGATTATGGTGCTCAATTGCAGTCCTCAAAGTTACGGGATTGAGAATTTGAAATGGAGGCAAGAATGCTAGAGGCTTGGGAACTTTTGGGATGCAAAGCCCCTGCAATTATTGCAGTCGAGCCCGCTTATAACGAACCTGAGCGTGATATCGCATTCGTTCGCCGTATCCCGAAGTTCGTAGTAAATGAAACACAGTTTAAAAAAAAAAGTTGCGAGTGAAAACACAAACTTTTTATGCCCCAAAAACTCCGTAATGCACGTGTTTCGAATAGCAGAAGCGATAAGGGGGGTGTCGAGTTCATTTGAAACGGCAGGGTGCTCGTTCGCCGAGGCCCGTGGCATAAGCTGCATGAGGCACTGACTCCAAAGTTTCGTCGTTCTCGCATTTCCTATTCCTCCAAATCTCTCTTGCCACGTACTTCATTCACAATGCCCTAATCCGTGCACGGTACCGCAGTGTCGGCATCATCATCGGCCATAATTAAACCATCGCAACAGATGTCCCACCCGCTCTCTCAGGTCCGAGTCGACGACGCGCTGCCACAAATCGCCGCCGCAGTTCGGAAGCTTCAGGCTCGGCATCGGGCCCGACGTCGACGAAGTCGGCCTCGCGAAAACAGTTTCACGCGCTTGTAGTCACCGCCGCCCACGAAATATTCACCATCTCCACAGCTGAATACCGGGACGCCCCCCCCGCATGGGCGCCTGCGCAAGTAGGTGTTTGGTGTGTAGCGACACCACGGACCCGAGCTAACGGGGGAGTTTTGACTCCCTCCCACGCCTAGCCGTGCGTGGCTTTGCCGTGTCCGGGGAAAAGGGGATCCTGGGGGTTGAGCCGACGCTGGGTGATTGGACCTTTAAGGCCCCCCGGCAGAGGCAACACACCCCTTTGGCCCCGGCTTCACATAGACGGCACCCCTGGGCTGACCCACCCAGGGAAAATCGGCAGTCGCCTTTTCCTATCTCTCTCTCCCTGCATCTTCGTCTTTATCTCTTACTGTTTATCTGTCCTGTCTTCTACTCTCTTCTGTTTACTTCCAAACTTCCTGGCGGCTAGGATTAACCCTGTGCAAATAGCCTACCTAGGTCTAGGCGCATTGGGTTATAGTGGCGTTGTACGGCTGGCGTCTGCAGTTTTCAGCATCTGTAAACTTGTAGCGTCCCCTCGTTGGGCTCCGTGGTGGGTGGCCGCCAACGCTGCTGAACAAAAATAAGAAAGGCATGCATGGAGCATTCCCCTTACTGTCTGATCGTACCGGCTTAAAGCGGGTACGCACCGATGATATAAACTTTTTTAACCAGCCCAAAGAAACATATCCTCACTATCATGTTATCCACTGTGAAAAAACTGAAAAGCAAGCCAGAACCGTCTCTCCTTTCCTGGTTTCTAGATGTCTTACTGAAACTCTTGGCACAAAATACAAGGTAACCAAAATGGCTAGTGGAGACCTTCTCCTCGAAATCCGTGACAAAGAACAATTTGAAAAGCTAGACCGTCTTTCAGATTTCGGTGGCATACCAATAACCATAACACCACATAGATCAATGAACACAACTCGCAGAGTGGTATCTGACATGGACTTACTTGACTTGACTGAGACTGAAATTTTGGAGGGGTGGAAAAGCCAAAATGTCACTAATGTACAGAGAATCATCATTAGAAGAGATAATAAGGAAACACCGACGAAACACTTAATACTCACATTTGCATCCGGTAAACTACCGGAATCTATTCAAACAGGGTACACAAAGACATCTATCAGGCCGTACATACCAAACCCTCGTCGTTGCTTCCAATGCCAGAGGTATGGCCATGGCTCTAAAACCTGTCGTGGTCGCCAGACTTGTGCACAATGTGGAGTTCTAGGCCACGTGTCTGAAAACTGCAAACAACCGCCACACTGTGTAAACTGCGAAGGAAACCATGCCGCATATTCACGCTCCTGCACATACTGGAAAAAAGAAAAAGAAATAATTACGTTGAAGGTGAAGGAGAACATTACATTTAAGGAAGCACGGCGAAGAGTCGCTCCATTCTATGGACCTACATACGCTGATGCGGCGCGTCAGGGGGCACCGCCGCACCAGCCCTCGCCACTCCTTCGGCTCGCGCATACCGAGCCGGTGGTTGTCGCACCTGCCCCCAAGGCGGCTGTAGCCCAAGCTACACCGCCTACTCCCAAACAGAGACCGGAGACTCCAGAGTCCTCCGGTCTCAAGGCCTCACCTCACCAGGCGAAGCCCGAAATTTGAATTAACAGCCCGCACGTGCGGGCATCCAGTGCCTCCGAGGAGGCAATGGATACGTCGGCACCCTTGGTGCCGAAAGAGCGGCGCGGCTCCCTGGAGCGCGTCAAGAAAACAAAAAAGCAGATAACAGGGCCTGGTGATGGCCCTGTTAAGTGAACTCAAACTCCCTGTCTAAACAGCCACTCGCTTTTCATACACACAGCACTATTTCACACTCACAATGAACACTCAAATTATACAATGGAACGTCAGGGGCCTTCTCAGAAACCTTGACGACATCCAAGAACTCTTACATGAACACTCGCCAAAAGTGCTGTGTGTACAAGAAACACCTTAATTTAAAACACACAAATTTTCTTCGTAAATACGTTATTTTCCGAAAAGACCGTGTGGATGCTATGACATCATCCGGAGGTGTTGCCATCATAGTGAATCAAGGAATAGCATGCACACATTTACAACTACAAACATCCCTTGAGGCAGTGGCTGTTCGAGCGGTTCTTTTTGATAAACTGATCACAATCTGCACTATTTACATTCCTCCTAGCTATAAGCTGCAAAAACGCGATTTACACTGTCTAATTGATGAACTTCCGGAGCCTTATGTTCTCTTTGGAGACTTTAATGCGCATAGCAGGCTATGGGGTGACTCTCGGTATGACGCGCGAGGTCGACTGATCGAGCAGTTCCTTATCTCGTCGAGCGCGTGTCTCCTAAATCGAAAAGAACCAACCTATTATAACCTCGCTAATAACACCTACTCCTCCATAGACCTGAGCATAGTATCTCCATCTCTTGTGCCTCTACTCCAGTGGAAAGTCGTCAGTAATCTGTACGGAAGTGACCACTTCCCCGTAGTTTAGAGCACAACGACAGTAACTGAGTGTCCACCACGTGTTCCCAAGTGGCTCATAAACAGAGCCGACTGGGAACAGTTTTATACTATCGCTTGTCTAGGTTGGAATGACATCTGTACTTTGAACATTGATGTTGCTGTGAACTACTTCACAGCGTTTTTGATTGATGCTGCAACAAAATGCATCCCACAAACAAATGGACACCCTGGAAAACGATGCGTCCCATGGTGGAACTCTGAATGCCGAAACGCGCGCAAACAGCAAAACAGAGCTTGGAGGCTGCTTCGGAACTCACCGACAGCCGAAAATCTTGAAACCTTCAAGAAAATAAAGTCTCAAGGCAGGAGAACGCGTCGGCAGGCCAGAAGAGAAAGCTGGCAGAAGTTTTTATCAGGGGTTAACTCATACACACAGGAGGCTAAAGTCTGGAACATGGTCGGTAGGATAGCAGGAAAACAAGTACACACACTTCCACTCGTAAACACTCAGGGTGATACCTTGGAAGATCAGGCAAACTTCCTCGGTGCACACTTCGAACAGGTATCCAGCTCGTCCCACTATACTGACACTTTCCAAAAATACAGAACAAGAATAGAAAAGCAGAAACTCGAACACAAATCCACTAGATACGAGGCATATAACCAAGCTTTCAGTCTAGCTGAGCTCCGAATATCTCTAAACTCCTGCAGTACTTCTGCCCCAGGTTCTGACCGTGTGATGTATGAAATGTTAAAAAACCTACCAAACGAAACCCAAAAAACCTTACTTTGTTTGTACAATGCTATTTGGTCTTCTGGCACTATTCCTACCTCCTGGAAAGAGGCTATTGTTATTCCCATTTTGACAGAGGGCAAGGACCCTTCTTTACCCTCGAGTTATAGGCCTATAGCACTTACAAGCTGCTTGTGCAAAGTCTTCGAAAAAATGATAAACTGCCGACTTGTACATTTTCTTGAAACAAATAATTTGCTCGACCCATTTCAGTGCGGGTTTCGAGAAAGTAGATCCACCACAGACCACCTTGTTCGTATCGAGGCACAGATCAGAGACGCCTTCGTCTATAAACAATATTTTCTCTCTGTGTTCCTCGATATCGAAAAGGCTTATGATACAACATGGCGTTTCGGAATTCTAAGAGACCTGTCCCACCTTGGTGTGCGCGGAAGAATGTTTCATATAATCGAAAGCTACCTGTCAAACCGGACATTCTGTGTCCGTCTGGGCAGTGTGCTCTCCCAAACATTTGTCCAGGAAACAGGCGTGCCACAAGGTGGTGTGCTTAGTTGCACACTTTTTATTATTAAAATGAACTCTTTGCACTTGTCCGTTCCCCGCAAGATGTTCTATTGTACATATGTCGACGACGTTCAGCTTGGCTACAAGTCATGCAACTTGGCCATGTGTGAGCGGCAGGTTCAGCTGGGTTTAAATAAGGTCTCCAAATGGGCAGATGAAAACGGATTTCGACTTAACCCACAAAAAAGCACGTGTGTCTTGTTCTCTCGAAAGAGAGGCATGCACTCGGAACCTGACATTCGACTGAACGGGCAACGTCTGTCCGTCAAAGCCGAGCATAAATTCTTAGGCTTAATCTTGGACAACAAGTTGACCTTCGTACCTCACATAAAGTATTTAAAAACAAAATGTTTAAAAGCCATGAATGTTATAAAAGTGTTTTCACATACTACGTGGG